CAGGCCGGCCATGAGAAGAGATGACCCGTTTTCTCTGTCTAAAGCCCAAGCTACCCTGCGCCTCCCGGGGAGCGCTCACCATGAGCGGGTGCAGAGTGATCTGGAGAACTCAACTCTCTGTCTTGGGGACGACAACGGAGAGAGAAGACCCTCTTCATTCAAGCTGCTTTGGGAAGGGGAGTTGTTCCCTCCCTGCTGGAGGGATGGCCACGTACATCTGGATAACTCCTGGCCAACTATGACTTGTGTCCCTCAAAGGCAGGATAACTCTTGGCCAACCATTAGTTGAGTCCCTGTCAAAGGTAACGTTCTCCACTGCCCTATGCCCCATTCTGTGAATAGACCGTGGTGTCCAGCAGCCACAGTCTCAGGGAAGGGGAGTTGTTCCCTCCCTGCTGGAGGGATGGCCACGTACATCTGGATAACTCCTGGCCAACTATGACTTGTGTCCCTCAAAGGCAGGATAACTCTTGGCCAACCATTAGTTGAGTCCCTGTCAAAGGTAACGTTCTCCACTGCCCTATGCCCCATTCTGTGAATAGACCGTGGTGTCCAGCAGCCACAGTCTCAGTCAATAATCAACAGCATTTCTCTTGGGGTGGTATCTCTGGGCTGTTTTTACAAAGGGTCTGAGGTGTCTGTGGCTGCCGGCCACGTAGTGATACCTTCAAACAAAAATTTAATTGCACAAGTCTAGGAGGAGATTCTGAAAATTCTTTATAAGTGTTTATGTTCACACGTAGGTCTTTTGAATGACTCTAAATTCATGTTCACTATTGTTTTAAATCTTTTGAAGGGGTGTAATTTATATTTTCTCTGTCACTTTTTGATTACTTGTGCTGGATGTTATCTAGAGAAAATGTGAAAAGTTATTGCACGTTTCACTCATGAACATAAATATGTATTTGATTGATAATATCCAGACAGACAATACCTTCAGAATGCCTTTTAAATGGTATTTACAACCCTCAATCTCCTTTTAACCAGCACCTACAATCTAGTTTCTTCAGAACACTGCACATCAGTGTTATGGCATTGTTTCTATCACAATCTGGAACCTTATGAGGAATTATTTCAAATTTCATTTACATGAAATCCAAAAATGGGCTTCTTTATTTCAGAGACGTCCTGCAGAAGACATTCCTAAAGTACATTCCCTTCCCAACAGAATATTGGAAATCAAGAGGATATACTATGCCTTAGAATTTCCAATTTCTCCATTTCTCAAGATGTTTTTCCGCTTGAGTTGTCTCATCTTTGGCAATAACCAGGTAAACAAGATGTCGGGAGCGTTCGTCAGAGCAGTAGGAACCTCTCCCCACCTCGAACTGTTCATCTGTCATTCCGTTCCTGTAGTGCTTGTCTGTCTGTCCCCAGTCATCCCCAACGAAGTGGCTGCCTGCGCGTGCCTTTGTTCTTCCACAGCTCATCACTCCCCGTCGCCCTCCGAAGAGCACAGCGAAGGAGTGCGGCGATTCCTGTCTTGTTCGCTCTGCTCCAGCGCCACCCGAGGAACCAGTTAGTTGTCACAGACTTGGGGAGATACAGTTGGAGAGAATTTAATCCACAGGGAGAAGACACTCCCATCCCAAGTGACTCTGCGTGCTCTCCAAGGAGATGCAATTCCTTTCTAGGAGCAGAATATGCTGAGTCGCTTCAAACCTTGGTGTCATGAGTTCTCGTTCAAGATTGGGAAACTTCTTCCAAAATGCCAAAGGCAATTTTACCTATAAAAAGGGGATTTAGGGTGTGTTTAAGGAATTGTGAAAGCTGTGTCATAGCTGGGATTTCATAAAAACTTCTCCTCTCAGTGGAGATTTGATTTGAAAGATTTATATCTGGAATTACTTGGAATCATTAATGAAGGCTGGAAATCTAATGAGGGGCTGCAGGTAAGTGTGTTATCGTAAAATTATCATATGATTTCCAAGATCTCATAAAGATAGGAGAGTCCACTTAGTCACTGAGACCTGTGTCAATGTCCTCGTTCTTTTACTCCCTTGTGCATTGCAGGGTGTGTTTCTAGGCAGCCCCAAATATGGTAAAGCTCAACTGGGAATCTGTCAACAGCACCGTGCTGATGAAGACAGTAAACTGGTTCCCACCTTCACTCCCATGCCATCCCAGCCCACCTCCAGAAGTGGATAAAAGGGAATTCTTGAAGCTGGGGAGCCAGAGAAGGCTGTGCACACTTCTCTCTGCATTCACCCCTTGTCAGCACAGCTCCGTTGGTCTTTCTGCTCGTCTTGATTTTGACTCTGCTCGGAAGAAGCAGCCATGTCTCGGCAGTCGACCTGCAGAAGCTTTGGAGGCGGGAGTAGAAGGGGCTACAGCTCTTGCTCTGCCATCGGTGGTGGCTTTGGAGGAGGTGGAGGCAGAAGCAGGATCAGTTACAGTTCATACTCCTCATCCAGGGGAGGTGGAGGAGGTGGATACGGTGGAGGGTTTAGCAGCAGGAGCCTCCATAACATAGGTGGCAGCAGAGGGATTACCGTGGGTGGATGCTACGGTGGTGGAGGATACGGAGGCAGAATGGGTGGCTTTGGTGGAGGAATGGGCGGCTTTGGCGGAGGAATGGGTGGCGGAGGAATGGGTGGTGGTGGAATGGGTGGCTTTGGTGGAGGAATGGGTGGCAGAGGAATGGGTGGCTTTGGTGGAGGAATGGGTGGCGGGGGAATGGGTGGCGGAGGAATGGGCATTGGTGGCCCTGGCTTCCCTGGAGGCATCCAACCGGTGCAAGTTGACCCAAGCCTCCTGCGGCCGGTCCATGTTGAGATTGACCCCCAGATCCAGCAAGTGAAAAACCAGGAGAAGGAGCAAATTAAGAATCTTAACAATCAGTTTGCCTCCTTCATTGACAAGGTGAGAATTTAGGACTGTGCTTGTTTGGAGGTGGGTATTTTAAAACGGGTTTCCTGCGATGTGGAAAGGGAATTTTTTCTTGCCAACAAGAACTTGTTAAAGTTTGCAAGACCGATGCCTTCGTAGCAAGTTATTATTAAGATCTTATTGAGCAATACCGAACAATAGACAAGGTTTTCATGCTAATGAAAGATTAAAGAGAACATCTGCAGGACGTTCGGTGGATTCTCTTGCCTAGTCGTCTCTTCAGCCTAATTTACAGTGATTCAGGGTAAAGTCATCATCATATATTCAGTTGACCTAAGAGTTCTCATTACTGAGCTTTTCTTTTGATGAAACTTTCTTCTCAAGGAAATGATTCTACAAGCTTAAGAGTGTTAAACACCTTTCCAACACTCTTGGATTAACTTAATTTCAAACAGAAATCAAAGGAAAACAGAATCCCTTGTAAGAGAATTTATGTGCAGTTAGATGAAAAGAGACATTGTTTACTTGACTTCACTACTGCACTGATGATAGCAACATCCAAAACTGATGCGATGGAAAAGAGAGATGCTGGTTTCTATTACCAACATCTTTTTCTCCCAAAGCGAGAAGTTCAGAATGACTCAAAATTTAATAACGCTTCTCATGCACTTTCGGAGCCTGGATGTTTGAATGAGCCATAGCTGGGCACTTGGGAGATGATTCCCTTGGCCTCTCAAATGAGCAGGAGGTTTGACTAGTGCGACATCTCCCCTGGTGAACATCTCTCACATTCCTTTGGGGGCTTTCAGGTCCGCTTCCTGGAGCAACAGAACAAGGTCCTCTCCACCAAGTGGGAGCTCCTCCAACAGCAAGGGCCTTCAGGACCAAGGAAGAACCTCGATGTCATCTTCGAAAATTACATCCAGAACCTGAGGAGGAAGCTGGAATCAATCTTGTCCCAGAGGGAGCAGCTGGAGTCAGAGCTGCAGAACATGCGGCAGTATGTGGAGGAGTACAAGACCAAGTAAGTGCAGGGATGGGCGAAGGAAGAAGTGAGCACCCAGACAGGAGAGCTGGGCCAGCCGGGGCATTTCCACAGTGTCTTCCCTCTGAGGCCAGCCGGTTCCACAGTGTCTTCCCTCTGAAGATATGGGACCAAGGTGGCCATGGAGGGAAGGGGG